CCCCCGCCGCCGGCCCCCCGGCCAGTGCCGCCGGCTGTCCCCTGCCCTGAGCCCGCAGTGCCACCTGCAGCCCGCCCGCGCTCTGCGCAGCCCCCCTTCTGCCCCCGGGAGAGCTGCCGTCCGGGGGAATCCAGCCCCTTCGCTCCTCCTTGGGGCAATTTTTATTTTTTTTATTTTTTTTTTTTTTCCTTTTCTGATATCGAATTGGCATCTCCGGCAGGGGGAGCTGAGCAGAGTTTGTGGAGGGAATAGCTGAGCGAGGAAGCGGTGCTGGCGAGTCGTGAGAAGGCGGCTGAAATGATGGGCGGTGACGACAAGGGGATGCTGCTCTGTGCTACAAACACCCCTCCAGCTGGGCGCCCAGGCTCTTTAGCCGGGAGCAGCAAAACTCGCTGCAGGTTGTGTGTGTTGAGTTGGGGTCTGAGCTAGTCCCTGCGTGGGGGCACCTGATGCCAGTGCATAGGGCACTGCCCCGAGCCCCCCTCGGTCACCGACAGCGGGGACCAGGCTGCTGCGCGCATCTGTGGCGGTGGTGGGGTTGCTTGGACGGCTCAGTCTTTGAGCAGGAAGGTGGGTAGCAAGCGAGAGGTCTCACCTGGCTGTACCCATCTCACCTGGCTGCTGGTTTGGTGTCTCTCCTCCTCACTCTGCCCAAGTTTCTGGCTCACGTCTCTCACGCTGGGGTCCCCAGGGTGTCCTGGAGCTGCTCGCAGGCCAGCAGGTGCTCGGGAGCGGTGGCCCGTGCTCTCGGGAGCTGGTGCTGACCCTGGCACACGGGTCGGTTCTTGTTCCCCCTGTGCAGGAGCTGACTCTGCGTCGGTCGACCCCTTGGTGCTGGAGCAGTATGTCGTGGTGGCAGACTACCAGAAGCAGGAGAGCTCCGAGATCAGCTTGTGCGTGGGCCAGTTGGTGGATATCATTGAGAAGAACGAATCAGGTACAGAGAGTTTGGCTTGGCAGAGGGCTTTGGGTCTACTGTGTCGCAGAGCAGGGGCAGGAATAGCAATCCTGTATCGTCAGTGTTTTCCTAATAGGACCGTAAGCAAAACAGCCTCCAGGCACCTCACAGGGATGTCCTTGGACGGTCGGTTGAGGTGGGATGTGGAGGAAGCAGCTTCAGTCTGCAGGCCGTCTGTTTGAGCGTGGACAAAACTTCGTGACTGTCTCTAGAGGAAGGGTCTGATTACCCGTGTGCCGAGCGCCAGGCGCCGTCCATCTCTTACAGTCTCTACGCTTCTACCTGCTGAAAAACTTGGCCAATGGGTCCTGAGGACAAAAGCATCATTCCTGGAGCTGGCAGGCTTGTTTTAGTGACAGCAGTGGACACTCTCATGGTGCTCGTGAAAGCCCCCATTGTGCATTCGCAATTCCAGCCTCCGAACACGATGAAGCAGCTGGCGGTGGAGCAGGGGCAGGCAGCCGAGCCATTCGCTTGCTTCAAAACTTAAGCTGGCTCTTAACCTCTGCAAAGGGATTGAGTCATGTTGGGGGCCCAACTTCTGGAGTTTGTTGAAAAGGGGAACTTATTCCCTGAAGTTCACAGAAGTTGCTTACGGGGGTTTAAAAATAGTGAACATCATAGATTTTAAAATTCTGGAAGCCCGATCCCTGGAGGATTAGTTGCACCAGCAGCTGTGTTTGAGAATGGGGAAAATAAAAGCAACCCTGAAGCAAGTGAAACCTATTAGCACAGCCAATTCAAAAGATATGGCAAATAATTTATTTATCAAATGTCAGCCCTCATTTTCCCTTCCATGCAGGTAGCTGCTGATTCTCTCCCCGGCAATCTAGTTGTCTTTCTAAATGACTCACTGGTGAGGTTCTGAGGATAATGCTCAGTCTTTTTTTTTTTTTTTCCCCTAAAGATGCAAACAGCTTGTGCTTTTAATAACTGAGAAGCACACGTTTATTTTGATTGGACACCCAGGGTGGCCCAGAATTGCTCGTGGCCGCGATGGAGCTGGCTAGGTTTCCGCTGGGAGAGCTCATGTTTTAATCCTGCATTTGCTCTTAGCTTTTAAAATTTACTGTTTCCACAAATGTAAAGAAGGCGAGAGCGCAGCAGGAGTCAGCTATCGATTCGCAGACAGTGCATTCATCTCTGCTAATTGGCCTGGGCTTGCTGACCCAGACTGAGAGAAAATTAACCATGAAGGGAAAATAATGAAAAGCAAACGCGGTGGCTGGAGCCATTTAGTTCTCAGAGTCTCTCCCATCTTTTGTGGGGAGGGAATAGCATTAGATAGCATCCAGCTGCGATTCCCCCGTCCTGCTGTCTGTGCTCCCTTTCCGATAGTGCTTGGCTCTCTTGCCTTGGTGTCACCCCCGCCTCCCCTGTAGGCAGCGAGGAGGAGGCAAAGCCCCCAGACTCATGGTTTGGAGGGAGGGAGGGAGTTTTTGGCTGGTGGGAGCCCTTGGCTGAGCCGCCTGCTGTTTTCTTCTCAGGCTGGTGGTTTGTGAGCACGTCAGAGGAGCAAGGCTGGGTGCCGGCGACCTGCCTGGAGGCCCAGGATGGTGTCCAGGATGAGTTCTCAATGCAGCCTGATGAAGGTAAGAAGCTGCTGGAGACTTCTGCCCTGGCTTTTTCGTGCTGAACTGCACTGAGCTGCTCTGAGGGCTGCGTGGCCCTCCCTGACTTAGGCAGGGCACGAGCCCGGGGAAGGACAAACCCATACGTGCTGTTCAGTCGTGTCTGCCCATAATGGTCACAGAATCACAGAATGGTCAGGCAGGGTTGGAAGGGACCTCTGGAGATCATCTACGCTGACCCCCCTGCCCAGTGCTCTGCTCCAGTGCTGTAGCAGGAGCGGGGCAGCCGGATACTGGCGGTGTAACTGCTGGCCTTTCTGCTCCCTGGCAGAGGGGTTGAAGGTGCCACCCCCAGGGAACACCCAGTTCCGCCATCCCAATGCCTCCTTTAAGCCCCAGGGAGCTGTTTTACCTGCGCTGGAGGGGGAGCAAAGCTCAGGTCCTAGGAAGATTCCCTTGTTTTCTAAACCCATGCAGAGCAAAGCGCATGCGTGAGCTCACATGATGAGAACAGCAAGGTTGCAACCTTTGCTTAGAGCAAATCTGAAATGCCCCTGGAGAGTCCTTCCCATTGACTACTCTGTGCTCAAAGCGGTGCTGTAGCTGGCTTAGCCCCTTGTCTGGGGAGATGGAGGTGGGAGGGGAGGCTCAGAGCGGGGATGGCCCCCAGAGGGCTCCAGGCGAGTACTGTCTCTGTGCCACTCTCTGGTGTCAGCCCTGTCTCCTCTTGGACCTGAAGTACCACCTCCTTACATCCTCTCTTGTCCTTCTCCTGCTTCCCCAACATGCTCTTCCCAGTCCCACGGAGATACTGGTCTCTGCCCAGGCACGTTGGCCGCCGTCGGACTCTTGGGGACTTGTACACCAGTGGATGGGGTCAAGGTGGACTTCACAGAGACTTGTTTGGCTGCCCATGTTTTGTGCTTGGAGCCTTGTCTGCATGTTTGTTCTCTTTGCATGTGATGGACCCTGCTTGTGTCAGTCCTCAATGTGTGCCATCCATGCTCCTCAGCCTTCCATGCGGCCCACTCATGTCCACCTCTCTTTCCTCTATCAGCTGTTCCTTCTAACTTTTTGAGGCTTGTTTTGTGTACAGAGGCTGGAGTTTCTGCTTGCCCCCAACACGTGTATGCAGACTTCTTGCAACTGCTGCCTAATTCCTGTAAGAGTAACTCCTCTGAGCTGTGGCCCTGGGGTTGGTGGCTCAGATGGGGTCAGGAGGAGAAGAGCCAGCTTGGTTTTGCCGGATGTGACAGGACGTTTTCTGCTTTGACTGATTTGCATGAAGGGGGTGGGAAATCGGGCCCCTCGAGGGCTGTGCTCCTCCAAGAAGACAAAGCCAGGAAACATGTACGGTGGGATATATGAATGTCCAGAGGTGTGGGTTGTGGAGGCAGACTTTCCCAAAATGGCCTTCACTCTGTTGTGGCACTGCTTAAGCACAGGCAATTTCTTTCCTGGGTTTCCCCCAGAGAGGACAGGACAAGGTGAGGGAGAGGGGTGGATGGATGGACCTGTTTGTCTGACGTTGTCTGCATGGCTGTTAGGATGTTTCCCCTTCTTCTTGAAGGGAAGAGCATCCATATCCCTGCTTACCTTTGTTTGGTCTGGTGGACAGGACATCAGACTCTTCCCCAGGCTCACCACGTAGCTTTGACCAATGTCCTGGGGGACCCAACTGACAGGGAAGTTCATGTAGACCTGCTGCTGTAAAGCGGTTTGAGAGCTGTGCATGAGAGCACGTTTGTGGGATAGGGGTTACTCCCTGATGTCTATGGGATTTCTTTCCCTCTGTAGAGGACAGTTCTTCTTAAAATGCTCTGAGAAAGAAATGTAAACTGAAATGGATGTAATGAAGGGCTTCTGTGAAGAGCATGTGGAAGGAGACCTGTCGTATAAATGGTAGCCTTTAGTCCGAAGGGAGAGGAGGAACTGTTTTAGACAAGTTCTCCTTGGGCCAGAGTAGCTCACCAAAGCTTACATTTCAAAATGCAGCCGGGTTTGTTTTGAAATACATTTCACTGGCATTTCTTTTATGAATGGTTGTGTATATCTGTGTGTTTGCACCTGTATTACAACAGGGATTATCATTATATAAAGCACTTGACCATTATTCAACTGAGTCCAGGTTTCCCTAAAATAATATGTCCGTGAAACTGCACTTTCTTTCCAACAGAGGAGAAGTACACCGTTATTTACCCATATACCGCAAGAGACCAGGATGAAATGAACCTGGACAAAGGGGCTGTGGTGGAGGTGATCCAGAAGAACCTGGAGGGCTGGTGGAAAATCAGGTAATGACCTTCCTCTTCCTCTTCCCCTTCCCTGGCACTGCAGCTGGGGCTTTGCAAAGCAGAGACCTGATGAGCGTGGGATGTACAGTCCAAAGGCAGGTCTAGAGTGTCGGGAAGGGTAGAGTAACAAAACTCATTTCTCTCCCTCCCTACAAACTAAGGCTAGCTGATGTTCAGGGCTTCCGTCAAGCATAGCTGTGGTTAAACATCTGTAAAATCCCCCGATTTCCTGTGCAGGGGGCGGGGGCTGCGTCACGGCATCACATGCCCCAGCAGCGCGAAGGGAACCGGCGTGAGAGCATCAGTGTTACGTCATGTGCTGCTGATAGGAAAACCAGTGAGTGTCCTGGAGGCAGGCTGGATCCTCTGGCTACATTAGGAGGCTCCTGGGCAGAAGGGCTGTTGTCCGGGCCAGGTCTGCTCTATACAGGGTGTGCTGAGGCCAAAGACTCCAGATCGTCCCAAGCTGATACTTGTTTTCTCCTGGAAGCTCATTTTCTCTTGTCTGTGGTCTAGCAAATGGCCGGACGTGAGCAGGGTGGGAGCACATGCTGCGATTTTCTTAACCTTACGTTGAACCTGTGGTCTTGGCAGCAGCAAAGCCCCAGAAAACGTCCATTGACTTTTTAAGCAGAGGAGAGCTGCCACGAGAGCTCTAAAGGCAATTACAAGCTCAGTAGCTGGTGCCATCTGAGCGTAGTGGCTGCAGCCCAGCCAGCGGGGAGAGTCTCTGCCGCTGGCGTGGGACCCTCCAGCATGGCAGGGAGACTCCGCGGATGTGGTTTCTCAATCACATCGCGGGGCTGGTTCTTCTCCTTAACAGTGCAGTTTTAGAGCAGGGAAGGGATCCAGGCTGCCGGCGCTCAGGCAAAGGGCTTGTGCGTTCTCCAAAGACCAGGTACATCAATCCTAGCAGCAGCGCTCCGGTTTTCCCCTCTGCTTCCCCTGCCAGTGCGCTTCATTCCTGAACCGGTGCCATTGCCGAGGTGAAAAGGAAGTCAGTCTTCGCGCCGTTCCCAGCCCTCGGCCCACTGGCTGCGGCCAGCTTGCACGAGAGCGTTAGTCATGGCTGGAGTTCTCCAGGTGCCCATGTGCCACGGAGCATGACACCGGGCAGGCTCGTTTTGCCCAGATCATGCAGTACCTTCAGTCAACACGTGTCCTGAGCTGTGGCTCCAGGGACGTCTGGTGACTCAACGCCACTCGAGCGCGGTGGGTCACTCCTCCGGGAAGGGCTCAGCAGCCCTGGTGCAGCACGGGGGCTCTGCGTAGTGACGCTGTTGTTGTTGCCACCGCAGGTACCAGGGCCAAGAAGGCTGGGCGCCCGCCTCCTACCTCAAAAAGGGGAATGGAGAGATGTTCTCGCAGAAGCTGGGGTCAGGCTCCTCTGCTCATTCGTGTGCCTTGGATCTGGATGGCATCTCCCGGCAGCAGGTTGTGGCTAACCGAGGGAAGGATGGGGCCGCCG